ACTAACAAGGCCGGGCACGGTGGCTCATGCCTGTAATCCCAGCACTTTGGGAGGCTGAGGCGGGTGGATCACCTGAGGTCAGGAGTTCCAGACCAGCCTGGCCAACATGGTGAAACCCCGGCCCTACTAAAAACACCAAAATTAGCTGGGTGTGGTGCTGGGTGCCTGTAATCCCAGCTACTTGGGAGACTGAGGCAGGAGAATTGCTTGAACCTGGGAGGCCGAGGGTGCAGTGAGCCAATGTGGCACCACTGGACTCCAGCCTGGGCAAGAGCAAGACTGTCTCAAAAAAAACAAAAAACAAAAAAAGGAAAACAAATTACTAAACAAGATTTCTAGAGGGAATTAACAAACCAGTGCTTATTTACAAATAAACGAATATGCTAATTGCAGGCACCCTGATTAAAGTGGGCCCCTCCCTGTTAACACCTCACAAGATTCTTAGGATATACTTGAAAACAGGTGCACTGGAAACCACTGTACTGAGAAGTTTATGGGCTCAAGACTGAATTGGGCGTGGTCGCTCAGGCCTGTAATCCCAGGACTCTGGGAGGCTGAGGTGGAAGGATCAGTTGAGTCCAGGAGTTCGAGACCAGCCTGGGCAACCCAGTGAGACGTGTCTTTAAAACCATTAAAAATAGGCCGAGTGCCTTGGCTCACACCTGTAATCCCAGAACTTTGGGAGGCCAAGGTGGGTGGATCACTTGAGGCCAAGAGTTCAAGAACAGCCTGACCAACATGGCAAAACTCCATCTCTACTAAAAATACCAAAAAAATTAGTAGGGTATGGTGGTGCACACCTGTAGTCCCAGCTACTCAGGAGGCTGAGGTGTGAGAATCACTTGAAAGTGGGAGGCAGAGGTTGCAGCGAGCCAAGATTGTGCCACTGCACTCCAGCCTGGGCAACAGGGATTCTGTCTCCAGAAAAAAAAAAAAGAAAAAAAAGACTGAATTGGAATTTTGGGAACTAGGGTGCAAGAGGGAAGCGGAGGAAGGAGGAAACAGACCCCAGTGGTCACCTCAAGGACACCCAGCCCCAGTTAGGTAACTGGTATTAAACTCCACGGGAGAGATGAGCAGGCCTGGCCACCTGGTTTGGGGCTTAGCTGGGGAAACCAAGGCAGGCAGGGACAGTTGAAAGGGTTGGATGTTGACATATGGTAATTTAGAGGGTAGCAACACAGGCTTCATTTCACACACGCACAATTTGAAAAATACTAAACATGGCAAGGCCAGGGGGCAGGGGCAGCCATTCTCACACATTGCTAATGGCAGTGTAACTTGACTCAGTTCTTCTGAAGGCTAATCCATATTGAGAGCCATAAATACTTCATACAGTTTGACCTAATCTCCTACCCTAAGGAAATAATTCAAAAGAAGAATAAACCATTTACAAATATGTTTAATAGCAGCATTTCTTTAAAGAAAAACAAAGTTCAAATGCCCAACAGTAATTATGTTTAACACTTGGTACACATATAAATAGACAAAAGGCTGCAGAGAACACTGGATTTAAACAAGGCTATTACGGGTATAATTAACTATAATTTACGAATAAATAAGGAAAAAGTCCCTGGCTGAAAAGGATAGTGGAGGTTTATTTCCCAGTATTCTTCAGTTTGGACTGAACCCTTGCCAACTGAGCAGACATCCCACTATTACACCAAAAAGACTGCTCTCCCTGCCAGCAATTACAATACATGACACCACTAGGCCGAGTGGCTCAGAGGGAAGAGTGGTCTGCGGCTCTTCAATCTTTATCCAAACCTGGTCTAGCTTCAGGAGCCCAACCCATGCCTTTGGTCACCTGAGACTTTTTATTAATTTTTATGAGATGGAGTATTGCTATGTTGCCCAGGCTGATTCTGAACTCCTGGGCTCAAGCAGTTCTCCCGCCTGGGCCTCCCAGAATGTTGGGATTACAGGCATGAGCCACCACAGGCAGCCACCTGAGACTTCTTAAACAGCACCAGCACTTCTAGCTGGTTTGAACCTTAAATGCCACCACCCACCAGAGAGAAGGCTCTCACTAAATTCTAAATCTGTCATTTAAATTACTTTTCAACTGAAAAACAAAACAGAAGAAACTTATTAGAATAAGGCCATCTAGGCCGGGCGCGGGGGCTCAAGCCTGTAATCCCAGCACTTTGGGAGGCCAAGATGGGCGGATCATGAGGTCAGGAGATCGAGACCATCCTGGCTAACACAGTGAAACCCCGTCTCTACTAAAAA